TCAGGTACTTCGTTTTCAAAGGAAAGGAGTCGGATCGATCGCATCACATCACACTATGTTTTCCGCATATAAGATCTTTGGGATTACACTATAATATTGTTTTATGATGTCATGTTTTGATTATTGACACCTTGGTTTGACATGGGATGTTATTATGGATGTTTTCTTATACTGTTGGTTTTGTATTAACTTAATTAAAATGGAATTTTTGGTCTTGAATTTTGGGATGTTACACATTATGATGTGTCTCGGGCTGGGTCTATCTGTAATAGAGCCACGACATGTTGGAATTAGGAAAAGATGGGTAGATGGTGATCGTATATGATATGAGGTTGCGATGAGTCATGTAACATTCATTCCTTTAGCAGAAGTTTTGTAGCAAGGTATTTTGATCAAGTCTTTCCAGTCGGAATTCTTTTAGGAAGGCACGTGAGGCTGTTATGTGTGTGTATTTTGGCTCATCAATCGGGTAGGTGTCTGGTGTTCCGGACAGCTGGCAGACAAGTTGGAACCAGGGAGGTCCCAATTTTTCATAAGGAAAGCAGCTATGTGGCAGCAAGATGGGTTCAAGTGGGTTTAGTGACTTGGGATTCGTGCGTGGAGTTGTTTGTTATTCGAGGAATATGCTGAGTTGATTACTGTTGGACTATCTGTTAAGGCGAGTGTTCGGCGTCTGGATACGACAAGTGAATTCATTCGGTTGGTAACACCGAGATGATCAGTACTGGAAATGGTCGTTCGATCAGTTATCCGTGAAGGGAAATTGTACGGTACGGTTCCAGGGTGAGAGGTCTGTCGAAGAGTCAGACCAATGTGAGGTTTTAGGATCCGAGGATGCAGGAGTAGTTTCCTGCATGAGACTAAAGGATTGACCCTTCGCCTGGATTGGAGAGAGTATGGTTTGGTTGGGATCAGTTGCCTTGGGAAGGCCAACGGAAGCTCGGGGTGACGACTGTGTCCCTCGGGATATTGGGCGTCAGTATTTGTTGGGTTCCGAACAGGTTGCCGATTTGTGGTAAGAGTGGGATACTCAAGTTTTATTAAGGCCGAAGTGCTCTCAAGGCTTCTCCTTAAAGAGCGACACCCCGATTCGGGAAGCAGGGTTGAAGGTCGGTATAGTGATTCTGTCAAGATTTGGCCCGGATGGTCAAGGTGACGCATCGTGTAGGAGTATGATGGAATTTCAGACTGATTCATAGTGCTTACTATGTCTCAGGCACGTAAGTGTTTGGACAGCGATTCCATGTGGTTCCTTTTGTCGATATCTAGGATAAAGAACGGCTGAATCAGGAAAGGAAGTAGTGGCAGATATCTAGCGGAAAATGAGGATCTTGAAGATGTAAGGTAGTAGGTTTAGTGAAAGTGCAGTGGGAAACATCAGTCGGACTAGTAGGTGGATAGAGGAAGGCCGCGGACGTGACACGTGAGCAGTATTTGAAGGAGGTAACTGCAGCAGACTTCGAGAACGAAGTCTAGTTTAAGTGGGGGAGAGTTGTAACACCCGGAATCTAGAAGGTCATTTAAGGAAGATAAAACTTCATTTATAAGTCCAACTCGTCGAGTTCAAGGGGAAGAACTGAACGTTTTGGAAATTTGCCACACGTATTTTTGAAAGACCAACTCGACGAGTTGGACAGGGTTTGGGAAACCCTAATTCTGGGATTTTGTACCCAATTTAAACAACTTAAACCTCAGAAGGTAGCCTCATTTCCAGCCTCCACTGTCCTAAACCCTAACCTCGAAACCCTAAGGCACTTTTGAGTGATTGTGAGCCATTTTGAGGGTGTTGTGTATGTTTGAAGCCACTTGGAAGGAAAGAAAGCTTGGGGATACAAAAAGGAGCTACTAGATCTAGAAACTCTTCATCAATGGTTGTATCTTTGAGGTAAAAAGTTGCCACCTTGACTTGTAGTTAATTAGATCTCTCTTCTTGAAGTTTTAGCTTGAGTTTTGGAACTTTGGTTGAGTTGTCCAAATAGAAGAGGTTTCCAAGGGTTGATGGAGTAGATCTGACCCCTACATAACCTCTTGAGGCTTAAAGTTGCAGACTTTATTGGCCTCTAGGTTCCATTCATGCAATATGTCCGTTATGAAGCCAAAAATGGATCTTAGAGAGTGTTACAGGCATGCATGGACGTAAAGTTGGAAACTTTACGTGATTAAACCACCTTAGGACCTCAGATCTATGTTTTGGGACGTTGGAGTGAGAGTTTAAAGGCTTAATGGGTCAAGACCTTCCTTAAGGAAACTAGGGCTTGGGATTAGAGCTTATTAGATGATCCTTAGGGGTAAAGTTGGAAACTTTACCCTTTAGTCATCTCTAAGAATGGGGATCTGAGGACTGAAACCTTTGAATTTAAGAAAAATGACTTAATGCATTAAGTGGGTTGGCAGACTGAGGAGCTCGACGAGTTCATGAGTGGACTCGACGAGTTGGTTTGGGATTATCCCGATTCTGTGGGGAACATAGGAACTCGACGAGTTGTAGGAAAACTCGAGGAGTTGTATCGCAATATCACGATTCTAACTTTGGGGTGGACTCGACGAGTTAATAGGTAACTCGACGAGTTAAGTCAACTCGGAGCGTTGACTTTGACTTTCACTTTGACCTTTGACATTGGACACGTTAGTCCCAAGGGGTGCTTGGAGTAGACCAAATTATAATTAAGGAGATTATGGGCTTAGGATCAGGCCCGTAAGGGGTTGGGGCCCAATTTGGAAAATTAGGCCATTGATGGATTTATGGACATTACAGTGTTAGGCTTTTGTTTTGGGCTTGGGCCTTAGTTTTAGATCATACAGGGCCAGGGGTAGAATGATCATTTTACCCCATGTTTGGATTAAAGATTATAGCAGGGAACCCAATTGCTAATTAGGTATATTTATTGGTATTGACAGCTCGGAAAGCCAGCGGGGCAGCAGCTAAGGATTTCATTTGGGAAGCTTCTGCATTCGAGGTGAGTCTCCTCACCATACCAATGGGTCAAAGGCACCAAGGCCGTACCATTTATTTGGTTGTGATGATTATTGTGAGGGTGCTATCAATACATTATGTCTTCATGATAAGACCATGTAGGGGTTTCCATGGCAATTAGTTATATGTAGTATGCCAGTTGTCTTCGTGACTCTTGCATGTAGCGGCTATTTGCCAATGTGTTGTCAATATGTTATGTAAAGACCATGTGGGGGTTCCCATGGCAGTCCGTTAAGACCATGTGGTGGTTCACATGGCCTATTATGTGATATGTGGTACACTAGATGTTTATGTGATATATGATATGCTAGCAGTCACTGTGATACTTGTATGGAAGACCCCGGGAGGTTCCCGAGGCAGTTGGATATCAGACCATGTGGGGGTTCCCATGGGACCCGGTGTAAGACCTTGGAGGATTTCCATGACACCTTTATTGTTTGTATGTATGGCTTATATGGTTTGTATGACATTTCTGTTGATTAGTTAAGACCATGTGGGGTTCACATGGCAGTTAGTTAAGACCATGTGGGGGTTCCCATGGCAGGTAGTTAAGACCATGTAGGGGTTCCCATGGCAGTGGGCTAAGACCACGTGGGGGTTCCAGTAGCACCCGGTGTAAGACCTTGGAGGGTTTCCATGGCTTCCTTATATGTTTATATGCATGGCTTATGTGATTGATATGACTTATGTGATTATGTGGATTATGTGGGGTATGCTCTAGGGAACTCACTAAGCTTCATGCTTACAGTTTTGTTATGGTTTCAGGTATCATTGGTTTGGAAAGGAAGGGCCCGGGTTGATCGCAGCGCACACACCCGTGTTTTCCGCAATATGTGATTTTGGGATGAACTCTGATAAATGTTTTTAATTAGCAATGATTTGGAATGTTGAATTAAACGTTATATGTGTTTTGACTATAATAACAATGAAATTTTTACCCTTGATTTTCGGGTCGTTACACCGAGATAGAAACATCCTGAAACTGGATGTCACACTCATGCCCGTCTTCATGATTAATTTTGATCTTATTTCATTTTCGATCAAAAATAGAGGGAATCGTGGGCATCTATCTGTGATTTTTAGAGTTTAGACTTTTGAAGAATATAAGTGAGGAGATTAGTTAGTATTTGGGTTCTTCTAACTGGTCTTGGCCTATTATTTATATGGTAATAGTCGTATTGATTGAAGTCTGATTTCCCACCTTATAAGTTAACAAAATTCTCGGGAGAAATCTTGGTGAAGAGTTCATTTCATATCCAGATATATTTGGTAGTCCTTATTTTAATTTGCTTCAAGAATCTTTTGGATGTCTCATATGTGTAGCAAAATTATTCTTTTGGAAAATCATTTATGAACATCTGAAAGAATTTGAATTTTGAATATATTTTGAGAGAGGAGATTTATTAGTATTGTGATGTGGTATTGATTGTTTGTCTTCCAATCAATTTTTTGGCCTTAGTAGTTGATCTTAATTGTGAAAGAATATGTTATTGAAGTGATATGAAATTCAGTTTTGGTCCTCTGATCAAAATTTTAACTTTACTATTTGATTTAGATCTTCTATCCGATTGGATTTATTCAGTTTCCAGATCCATTTTATTTGATGTTCGGACTCTACACAAGTAGCTTCGTTTATTCTTCGAAGATTTTTGGTGTATTATGATTTGAGAACAAGACATTTCTCAGCACCAGACTAGCCAGTTGGACGTTCAAACTTTTATCACCGTTTATTACCCTCATCATTTCCGAACATTTAGGGAAGATTGTTGGATCAAGAAATACTTTTTCCCCAAACAGTGAAATCAATTCTCTTTCTCCAACTTAATTCTCTTTTTCTATATTTTCATCTCTGCTGCAATTCCATTTATCTGTAGTAAACATGCCTTAGTTGTGTAGTTCTATAAATATGGTTGAAGTCGTTTTGTTTTAAGTGAACCCATATGATGATTGTGATCCAATAAGTGGTTTAAGTAGTTTCCTTTTATTTGGGCTATTCAGTCTGTTTAGACATATTATAAGATTGACAAAACCAAAAGTACCCCACATTATTATTGTCGATAAACACCAATTATACAATTTAAGTATTCTAGTTTAAAGTCCAAACTAAACCCGAATTCCAATAATGATCAATCATTAAACTACTATTTCATCGTAAACCCTTTTGAACCCACACTTGGATCGTATCAATTGGATGCCAACATTTACATCTTTGGGTACAATAGTCATTTCAACCATATGTTTAAGCGATATGTTTCTGGGCAGGCATTTCTTCTAATGGCACATCATCGGCTTCATCTCCGGCTCCTTTGTATTTATACGATTTTGCCACAATCAAAAAGTATATAAAGTTCAACACCTCCAAACCCGTGCATAAATAATAAAAATAATCTAACTTAGCTTCGTTAAGGTCTTCAGCTAACCAATTTCTCGACCCACCTTCATTAGTCGTTCTATGAACCACAGTTATCAAGAAACTGCTCAAGTAACTCGACATGGCAAACCCACAAAACAAAAACGAACCTGCGAAACTTCTCATGTTTTCAGGAAACTGTTTGTAGAAAAACTCAATGAATCCGATAATCGCAAACGCTTCTGAGAGCCCAGCTATTGATAACTGAAATATTAACCAGTAACCCGGCATTGCTGAAATCGCACCTTTTCCTTTTTCAAACCCAACTGTTGGCATTGAATGTGCCTCATCTCTTCTTCTCGTTTCTACTAAACCTGCAACAAGCATCGTTATAATGGCGATGCCTGCTCCTACTCCTATTCTTTGGAGAAGAGAAATCCCTTGTCGTTTGTGTGTTATTCTCCGGAGGCATGGAACTACTATTTGGTCGTAGATTGGGATCCATATGGTGAGTGCTAGCATTTGGAAGACGGTGTATGAAGCTGCCGGAACCTGAAATGAACTTGGCCTGAGTCGCCGGTCGGATTGTAAAGCTTGAAACACTGTGTAGGTTTGCATTTGGTTAATTGAAACATTGTAGATTATGCAAGATACCCAAATCGGAATAGTTTTGATCACACATTTCACTTCTTCTATTTGTTGTATACTACAAAGCGTCCACCGGTTTCCGGAAGACCCATCGGAGTTAACTATATCTTCCGAAGTTATGATCGCTGCTTTATTTAGAAACCTGAGTTGTTTGCTGTAAGGAAGTTTTGAGTTGATGGATTTGGAAGAAACGTGATTGAAGAGTGAGGTTGCAGGTTCATCGGGAAACGCCAGATCCCGCTTCTTCACGGTGGCGACGAGGACTTGACAGATGCTGGTTAAAGGGCTGCCTTCCGGCAACACTTTGACGTAGATACTCGTGCCGATAAAAAACACAGCACATGACAAGAACATAAGGAACGTTGGAATGCCTAATCCGATTGCCCAGTTAACATCTGCTTGAACGTAGACGATAACTGTCAATGATACCATCATGGCGAAAGTGAAGGTGAAGTAGTACCAGTTGAAGAAACTGGCGATTCCCCGTTGGCCGGATTCTGTGTTCGGGTTGAATTGGTCGGCGCCGAAGGCTAAGTTACATGGCCGGATTCCGCTTGCTCCGATGATCAGAAACAAGAAACCGGTCAACAAGAAAACCATTTGCCAGGCCGTTGCTCCGACGCATGGAGCTTCTACACAATTAGGAGGATGAAGCTTTGTGACTGCTGCGGTTAACGTCAGCACAAGCATTCCCTGGGTAAAGATAGTTAAAGTTAATAAAATTCTAACTTTGAACTTTAAATAAAAGATAAAAATATATTAATTAAATATTGTAATTTAAAGAACAATTAAGAGATGATAAACCATAATTTAAGTCGATTTGTACTTTATGAAATATATTTTTGTATCAATATTTAAGAGTCATACACTATAAAGCTCATTGGACAGGATATATGAGATGATTAACTTTTTAAAGCTTTCTTATAAATTTTGTCACATCACATTTCTACCTATTAAAAAACATTGATAAAAATACTCAAATTATTAATCTTTTAAATATTGTTTTAAGAAATTAACAAATGTATACATACATTTCTCTTAAATGTATACATACATTTTTCTTATATTATATAAACTACTTCTGTATTTTAATTTTAAGGTGCATATTATACTTTTAAAATTTAATATTAGTTGATATTAGTAATAAATAAAAATGATTAAGTAGAATGTTATTATAATGTTTGTAAATTATTGATATAAGCATCAGTTTGATTATTTTCACAATTATTTTGTGATACTATAAACTTGATAAACAGTTATATTCAAATCGGTTTTAAAATTTTTTCATAAAATCTTCTTATGTTTAAGAAAATTATAAGTACCATTTGGAGGAAGATATATATGTACCAGAAAAGATGATACGGATGCGAATCCCAAGACCTTGTATCGACCGAAATAAGTGTCAGAGAGAAAAGCTCCAATAAGAGTACCAAAGTTGCAAGTACCAGCAAATACGTTGATAAGATTAGTAGCTGTTATCGACCTCATATTAAATACTGTCGTTAGATATACGAGTAGATTTGTCGATGTCCCGATGGTTCCTAGCTTCTCAAACGTCTCGTTTCCTATTAATAAAATTAAATTATAACACAGAAAAATAGATGAATAAATTGATTGATATGGTATGATATGATAACAAAATGTATAGTTCTTTCAGAAAAAAAATGTTTAGAACAATAACCAAAATTTTTTTTTTTTTTCATCAAACTTCGAATTTATAATAATAGATTTTATTTACACCTTTTTTCAAAATAAAAAATTGGTTATGTGTTTATTATATTTTATGTATGATCCAATTAATGAAAATAAAATTTGTGTGTAACTTTAAACAAGTTATCATTAAATATATAGTAAAATTATTATTTATATTTTCTACTTATATATTTTTTTTAAAAATGAATTTGTACATACAATATTAAAAACATACTAAATAAAGATTAATAAGTTAATAGGTTTAAATAAAAACATACTAAATAAAGATTAATAAGTTAATAGGTTTAAATAGCGATATGGCCTTATCAAATGCTTAGAAAGGTTGATATATTGATATTTTAAAACTGGTAAATATATTCAAATGCTTAGAAAGGTTGATGATATATTGATATTTTAAAATGCTTAGAAAGGTTGTAATTCAAATGCTTAGAAAGGTTGATGATATATTGATATTTTAAAACTGGTAAATATATTGATATGGCCTTATCCATTATTTTCTTTTTGTTTAAGTGCCTTATCTAGTTATCTTGTAGCGCACTTTCTTCGCAAAGTTTATAATAAACATTATTTCTATTTAAAGAAAAAAAAATCGATAAGAAAACCCATATGATAGACAAGTGAGATTTAGGTAAACTATACTGAAAATTTATAAATCTAGATGCATTTTATAATAGAAAACAAGAAAAAGTACGAATGTAGATCTAATTATATATATATATATATATATATATATATATATATATATGTAAATCGAAAATATAGTTTCTTATATGTGACAACACAAACTCGTCCACTAAAATAAGATAAGATATCTGAACAGTCATTTGCACGATGCATATGATCAGATGGCAACCTAAAACTTATATGTTTGAAACAATATTTTACTACTACTACTACTTAATTAAACAAGTTTAACCGAATATATCTCCATCTATTTTCATGAAATTTGTTATAGTTAAGTATATATATTCGCGATGTAGTATAGCTGTATAAGTATGTATATACCTATGACATAAGGCATGGCTCTAACTCCTCTGTAGTTGAGCTCTTTGAGTTCTTCGACTTTCTCATCTCCATTCTCCATGGCTTCCACCTTCGTCTCCATTTCCTTCTCTCACTCTCTCTATATATATTTGTATGTATATATTACTATATTTTGAGTGTGTAAGAGTCTAAATTTCGCTCAAAACAGAACTTTTACATGAAGAGAGAACTGAGTGGCATATATGTATATATATAGAATAGACACAGGCATTGGCATTTGTAACATGGAAGAGGAGGTAGGGTGTGGTTCACCGACTTGGTTCTAGACGCGCGTGGGACATATCTTACACTGGTTGGAGTCAACTGTGATGAATATTTTTCGTTGATGCCCTTCAACTTTTAACAAACTTCCAAAAAGACTCCCTCTAAGTATTGAAACAGTTATAACTACAAGGCTACAATCATCTTTTTTATTTTATTATTATTATTATTATTATTATTATATATATATATATATATATATATATATATATATATATATATATATATATATATATAGTGAAGAAATGATGTAATTATTTAGAGTTGGGTTATCACAAAATTCATAACTTTTAAAAAATTGTCTCCTATTTAATCTGTTTTTCTATAATATATTCTTATTTTAACATAAAGATATATTTCAAAATATCTTTCTAATTAACCACACTTTAAAATGGTTTCAAGTTTTGTGGCTAAACAAGGATCTTGGAACTATCTATATTTCCATGTTTCTAGCATGCTATAATTTATTTGAAATGCTTTTTCCTGTATATCATACTTTTGCAATATATTTCGGCAATGTGAAAATGTTTAGTTTCCACATTCCATATTGTTTTCTGTGATTTTAATTATTATTTATGAAAAATCATATAAATGCCATTGAAATCTATATATAGTATCTTAACGATTTTTACTATTAATATGAACTTTCTATAGTTTCTAAAATATTTTTGTTCACATGAACAAGTGTCACATTTAAGTTCATTGGGAAACTATTCGTATGAATAATTTCACATTTCGAGCCATTACAAAGCTATTAACATTTGTTTTATGTGGTTTCCAATTATAATTGACCATATATATCCCTTTTATAAACATGAACAATAGTGTTAGTTACTATTCATATGAAGTTTTGTGTGTCATACTTGACCATCATTTTCATATGACCTATTGCAAAACTGTTCATAATATATTTGTTCAAACTAATTTGTTTATCATTTAAAGTGTTGCATGTTTTCAGTGGTGGATGGGTGAGCAACACGTAAGCACCTGCCCTTGGGAGGGGAAAGGAAGTTGTAAACGACTGCTAATACCTCGTAGGTTGAGGAGCAAAAGGTGGAATTCATCCGATGAGGGGATATCAGTATTAAATTGGTATAAAATAGCTATATTGTTATATTGCATATTATTGTATCTGATTTGCAATCCAACCAAGAAGAACATGACAAAGAAAGAGTCTCATGAGTCATGACCCAAAATATGTGTCACCCAGCAATTAATTAGAGGTCCAAAGAGACGACGCCAGCCAACAATTAATACTATCCAACAAAAAAAAAAGACATATGCTCTTAATAATAAATTAATAGAACATTTTTGTTATCCATCCAAAATTTCAATATTTTTCAGTGGCTAAAACGATAAAAATATCTCGTATTTTAGAAACAAATAAACATATAAACATTATGACGAGTAGATCCGTTATTCAACTAAATTATACAAGAAGAAAATAACGTCCGCTCTTTTGTTGTATTCACTAATTAAAGTCAAATCACATAATGATGTGGGACAAATAAAAATGTACAAATTCACGTGCTTGACATATATGTCCATGGACGATGCATATTACAAAATAAAAAAATATAACACGTGAAAATCACGTCTAATAATATTATATTTCTTTTTGATTCACAAAAGGTTAAAACGGATATTTTTATATCCAAGTTCGCACCGCAAAAATATGACGAAATTGTGACTTATGACTTATGAGGGTCTTTTTATGAGTTCCGATAATCTTGGGGGTTTAGTATGCTATTTAGCTATAATATAGGCACGACAATGAAATTATTCAATACCTAAACAAGGAGACAAACACAAGTGCACGCACAGGAGACGCGTATACTTGCAGAAAACATAAACAAACACGTATTATGCCAATAAACTACAAGCACAAGATGTGTTGGATTTGAATTCGTTTTCTTTCTATCGTTTCAGAATCGACGTTAGGAAATCAATGGCATTGACGAATAACCTCAACCCCTCGTGTTGCCAGATTCAAGATAAGATTTTAATGAAATGACAAAAACATCATATTTAGTGAGTAAAATTTGTGTTGTTTCAGTCAGACTTTGCATACCAATTAAAGCCAATTTATTGTTTGCATATCTATGTTTACTAAAGTTTTGAATGTTTGAAAAACACGTTATCATATTGCAGAAAGTTTTTTTTAAAGAATAGTCATTTCTTTTTTGGAATAATAACACTGCACCACAATGATGTTTTGGGTTTGCTTTGATTTAACGATTTAATTGTTTATGTTCTTTTTTTTTGGGCAATCTAAATTTTACTGTACATGTCAATTAAGTCATTTTTGTTAGCTTTTAACCATTCATCCGGTTGTTTTAAATTACGTGAATGACCCCTATGGTTAAAAATTTATTGGTAGTTGGTCCAAAAATGGTAAAATTCATCATATATATTTTTTTAATTTCATATTTACAGCAAATGACAAAATTCCCCTTCTTCTCAATGCATGTTTTAGGAGACGATGATAAACGGTGTCGGTACAGTGAGGCCGTACTCAAAGCTGCCGACAACATTGGTAAATGAGTAAGTTTAATCCACAAAAAAATCATTAAAATCAACAAACTTTTCACATCACAGTCGTTGTGACAACCCGAAAATTTTTAAATTTTTGCCTTACAAAGCTCAGCCAGTCAAGTCAACTGAGTGTCAGACTCATTCCTGCTATCATTTAGCCTCATTTGGAGTCCGTTTAAAAGTCCAAAGGTCAGTACATTCAAGCTTTGAACATAGAAATGGATCGCGTACACTTCTAGCATCAAAACCGGGCCTTACACTCCAACATCAGGAGTGTACGGCCGCACACTGGGTGTGCGGCCGCACACCCCTCTCCTGGCAGCACACTCTCGTGTATATAGGAGGGATTTAGCCTTCATTCACCCCTTTTCACTCTCCAAGGCTTAGAACTCGATTTTCTCTCAACTATCATCCGATTTTCAGCCTAGATCTTCAAGAATGTAAGTGTTCTTCACTTGATTTGTTGTTAATCCTTCCAAACTAGTAACACTCTTTGATTCCATCCATTGAAAATCATGTTTTGACTAGATCTTCAAATCTTCATCCATTTCACCAAGAACACCAAGAACACACACTTGTTCTTGGTGATTTTGAGCTTTCTCGAGCCTCTGGATCGTAAGTACCCTTCCCTTATGCTTGAATCTTGTTAATAACACTAGATTAAGTCCTTAGTAATGCCCAAAACTCAAGAACACATGGTGTATGCGGCCGCACACACTCATGTGGCCGTACACCCCTTAAAAGACCCCAAAATGGCCTCTAAAATGCGTTTCTAGCTTCACCACTTGTTGAGCAATTGTCCCACAAGCCTCCCCACCTTTGGATAACGGTTATGTGCACTCTTTACCATGAGTGTTCAGATGCACACTCCCTGGCCACACACCCATGGCCGCACACACCAAGTGTAGCCGTAGATAACCTTTTAAAGGCCCAAAATAGCATCAAACTTCCTTTCCGGCTAAGCAATGGTCAAAACACCTTCCCTAGAACATTCCTAAGGCTTAGAAAACATTTTTGTGCACTCATTACCATGAGTGTGCGGCCGCACACTCCCCTGGCCGCACACCCATGGCCGCACACTCCCTCAAGTGGTCGTACACTCCCATTTAGTGAATCACATGTGATTCCAACACTTGGGCAAAGTGTTTCCTAGTCCCGTAAGGTGTTTTCTTGCATTTGGTTGCTTCTAAACACTATATTTATGTCAATATATGTCATTATATGTGATTAGGACTCGTTAAGTCTCGGGACTTCATTCGTGGAACTTCTCATCCTTACGCGCGTATTCGTTTGAATCACCCACATCAGGTGAGTTCATACCTCGTAATGAATATTTTAACTGTTTTAAATGTTTTAAGGGGGGGAGGGGTACAAGTTGAACACAATGATAAATGTGTAAATGGTTGTCATAACCAACTTTCAACAGATTACTTACGTCATTTATAAGCTGTCAAAACATTTCAAAAGCTCTTTTCAAGTTATGCTACTTTATAGTTTAACAAAACTCCGTCATAAAGTACTAGCATAATTTAGTAGTAAATTGAGTATTTTCAACAATTGTTCAAGTACATTAATAGTAAACTATAATAGGTATAGTTTAGAGATTCAGTTCATATTAGATACAATACACGATAATATAAAGAGAATACACAATAATGAGAAACAGGGAGGAACACACCATGCCAAGTACCGGGAAAAATCACGTTAATATATCTTGCCGAGTTTGCATTGACACTGGTACAATTTCACGTACCAGGACTAGCAGGCACAAGGTGAGAAACCTAATAATATATCTTGCCAAGTTTGCATTGACACTGGTACGATTTCACGTACCAGGACTAGCAAGCACGAGGTGATAAACCTAATAATATATCTTGCCGAGTTTGCATTGACACTGGTACGATTTCACATACCAGGACTAGCAGACACGAAGTGATAACCCTAATAATATATCTTGCCGAGTTTGCATTGAAACTGGTACGATTTCACGTGCCAGGACTAGCAGACACGAGGTGATAGAATATCATAATATATCTTCCTAGTTACATACGAGTTCACATTTAACCCTTTAATTGACCGACTTAGGACTAAAGGCTATTTTAGACTCCCCGAGGTGTATTGTACATTTAATACTACCTGGAGCTTGTATTTTATTACCTTAAGACTCCCCGAGGCGTATTGTCCCGTTAATACTACCTGGAGTTGGTATTTTATTACTTTATAGCCAGCAGTGTCACTGCTGAGGTAAAACATTATTTTCCCTATTACATTTACTTAGTGAACGTCTCCCATATTCATTAATGTATAAACTATATTTAGTTAAAGATAGTCTCACTTGGGAAAATACCTACTAATACAAGGAACGAACACCCATAACATTTGATGCCTTGGTAGAAGGCTACGT